GTTGCAAGATGTGGGCTCGCTTTGTAGTTTATGATTTATAGTCTTCACCACATTTTGTCACTTTCTTGTTTTTTGACTGAGATGTTTCTGAACATCTCATTTCAGATAATGTGGTACAGCTAGAGTGCCGTACTATATACAGCCTCTTAAAAATGTATGAGCAGTGTTTTGTTGCTTTTTTTTTTTCTCCAAGATACTCAAGTATCTTGAGTATGCTCTTCACCAAAGTGTATATATATATAACACATGCGCACAGTCAGCAGTCATTGCTCCACCCGCCTAAAATTCATGGACTTCTACACCAGCTGGATGGGGCCAACCCCACCGATCTCCATTGCCGATAATTTTTGATGAAACTAATCAGGACTGTATAAATAGCCCCAGACCAGCCCAGCTGAGCTCACCCTTCGGCTCCACGTCATTAGCAGCCTCCGGGGTCGAGCGCCAGCTTGGGACACTGCCTCAGGAGCCCTGTGCTTCACGGCCGGGCTTGGCCCACTCCCATCGTGGTGGGGCTGGCAAATTAAAAAGCAAGGAGCCTCTGTCTCGGGGCAGAGGGACACCTAATCGTTTCCACTGTGGGCAGAGGAAACAACTGGCTGCTGAAGCCGAAAGGGTTGCCACCCACACAGTTCAATGGCCCTGGAAAGAAAAGAGGGTTTTATGTGCAAATGCGAGCCTGAAATCTTCCTGCCCAATGGGCTCCATGTGGGGACCATGGAGAACGCGAGCTTACAGCTGCAGGCTGGTGAGGACGCACAGCATGTTGGCAGAGCAGCTGCAATTTTGTTCAGCCCCGGTAAGCGCAACGTTTAGCTAGTAGAGGTGGCCCAGACCTGAACCACTTATTCACACACAAACACGCATGGGAACATTTCTGATCTGGTGCTCCTGCCAGCACGCAGCCCTTGGCACCCTCCCCAAGCCGGAGGGACGGGCTGAGGGGTGGCTGGTCCTGCACAAGCCCTGTCGTCATCTCAGCTGGCACGGCCGGGGCCTGGTGGCGGGGTGGCAAGCGCTGATGTTTTCCAGGTATACAGGACACAGGACAATATAGTCGTGGCTTTATTCCTCAGATACAGCGTCAGTTCCCTGGCAGTGTTCCTGGGAGCGTTCGCAGCCATAACTCACCTCGTTGCGAGGGCCTGCGGCAAGGCTTGCCTAGCAGATTTCTCAGCATAGCATCAGAGTTAATGAAAGGATTAAAGAGCTTCATAAATAAGTAATAAAAGAATAAAGCCCACTTGACCTTAACTATTCCCCCTAGTTGAAAAATAAGCAAATAAATCCAAAGAACCCGCTTAGAAAATGGCCCCATATTTCATACCTAGATGAAGGATTGTAAGGTTTCATCTATGGATATGGACAGACGTTACCAATGCAGCGGAAGGAAATGACTGAAACCCAAGGATTGTTTGTCCTTAAAATTAATCAAACTCATTAGGAAAAATACTTTAAACTTCAGTCTCAGGGAGCCAGATTCATTCAAGAGCAGCCTCACTGATTTCAGTGAGTGTGTACAGATACAGATATACACAAATATCAGTTTGTTTTTGCTCCACCGAGATCATTTTAACCATATCAATACCATGAACCTCCTCCTCCCCAGAACAGCAGGCAGAACACAGGCAGTTTCTGTGCTGCCACAAAACAGCTTTGCAAGAGCAGAGGTAGCATCAACCTGAGGAGAGCAAGCTGGTGAGGCAACAGCAGAAACCCAGACAAATTTGTGCCAGTCTTTCACTTAACCTGCAGCACTATGGTAGCTAACGGCTCGGTTAGCGAAGCTGACAGCAAAACTCTCAGCGATTTCACTGCTCGGAACACAAAATGAATCACAGGTTCTCCACTGAAAGCTAATTAGATAAAGTGCCACCTCCCAAAGGCTCACGCTGTGCGTATGACAGCACCCGCATCACAGCCTGAATGGGTGTTTCAGCTTCTTGATGGTCCTGAGCAGTGGATAGCTGTAAGTCACCAAAACTGCCTCCAGCTGGGGGAGGAGGAGCACGACTGAACGACGAGGGGTGGGACGGGGTGGCAGCAGGCAGGACACTGCAGGGAGGTAACAGACGCACAGTCCGTGACGGCCAGGCTGTTCCCTCTCCTGAGGGGCCAAGGCTGGAACTGGCAGTGGAGGGGAAGCCAGGGGAAGCCAGCTTCAGCCAGATCATTGGTTGAGGGTGGGCAGGGCTATAACCCCGCTACGAAATGCTAGTGCCCACCTCGCACCTCTTTGCCCTCTCACTTTCATCACCCGGCAGCAGCAGCAGCCACCGCCGCTGTGGTACGCACTCCACTCCCCCCAGCTCAGCCCCGGCCCCTGCCTGGGGCCAGCGAAGTCTCCCCACACCTGGGGCAGCTGTGGGTTGGTTGTGGCATGGGGCAAAGCCGGGAAGGAAAGGACCAAGGGAGAAGGCAAGGGCTTCAGACCATCTCTGTTCTGCAAGGCAGTTCGACACCCACTTGCCTTTGCTTCAGCCACCTCTAACTCAAGTGTAACAAACACCAAATGAGGAACAGCTCAATAACCTATACTTTGGTTTTATTACAAGCAACCGAGACAAAAGTCACTTTAAACATTTAAAAGTGTTGTGGTTGAAAAAGTAGCTAGGTTGTTGGCAAAAAGCGGGGGGGGGGGGGGGGGGATTTTAAGGAGGGGGGG